GCTCCATTCCTCATAGTCGGTGAAGTCGAAGACGTTAGTCTCAGGAGTCAGAGAGCCAGGTAACAACGATAGTGGCAGCTCATTTTTTGGACAGGGCAGTTTTTGAAGGAGTTGAGCTGAGGGAAAGGGGTGGAACACATCCACGAGCCACTTGAAATTGAATATTTTTGTATTTTTTTGAGTAGTTGATATGAAAAAGGTGTTCTAGTTTTAAGAGTGTGGACTCGTGGCTAAAAGTCCAATATTGTTATCAAATATGACAGTTCAGGGGTCAAGGGGGAACTGACCTTGGACCTTTCATAATGGGTTTCAGTTTTGGAAGGCAAGGGAATCCAGAATGCCTGTATTTGGTGTGACGGGGTAGGGTAGTGGGCCAATCTTTTTCGTTTCAAATGATGGCAGTTTTAAATTTTGTGTAAAGGCATGATGATGGGGATTTTTGGTTTACTTGGCTGGCCATAGTGTAGAGACAAATGTGTATGTATATATATATATATATATATGTGTGTGTTGTTGTTTTCCATGGTCCATGCCCCTAGAGTAGATCCCCATTAACAGTCACCAGTAGATGAGACTGAGCGCACATATTTCGGCCTATTTTTTTGTCTGGTGACGATTAACTAAATTTGGTTTGCTCCACTAGGGAGTGGGAATGTGGGAAAGTGCCCGCCTCGTGACTCTTTGGGAGCAGAGGATGTTAGGATATAAAATACTTTAAGCTAACAATAATATTATGGTACTGTCATAGTTCAAGTTTTCTGTGTGTTTGCGATTTTGTGTTGTCTAGCATTTGTAAGGTGTTGTTTGCATTGTGTTTACTGTTATTTTGTTCTTAGTACTGTGTACCTACTAACTTTCTTCCCCTGGTTGTACTGATTATTATTCATGATGGCGTTCTTACAATAATAGATTCTAGATCTATGCTAGGAACGGGCACGGGACAAAATTATAGATTAAAGAATTATTTTGCTTCCATGATTGGCAGCGACCAGTAAAGTAGACAAGCTTCATTTCAACAGTTGTTTGCTTATTTCATGCTCAGTCATCTCATAGCTGCGCCTGTTGGCAAAGTACTCAAAATTATCATCAGGTATTTTCTGTTTGCTTACAACTGTGCTCTGAGCACCAAAACACAAGAGAACACCTCTTTGCCAACATCAGCTTACCTGTTTCTCCAGCACCTGTGGTAACTTTGGACTTACATTAAATACCAAAAGAGATGAAAATAATGTAACCACTTTTCGGAGAGCTTTGTATAAAATTTGCATAAAAGTGTACCTCTCCAGAGCCTGCGGTCTCATATTTTGCTCATGTCAGAGAGAGTCAAATGCTGTAGGAAAATTCACCAACCGTGACTGCAGATAGTCTCAAACAGCCAATACAGACACAGAGATCAGTAACGGTTGCTAGAGCCGGTGCGGCGTTCAGACGACTCGAAGGAAAAACATCTGAGAGCACAGAGTAAAGACCTCAGTCTGAGCACAAAGCTGAAGGTTTAAGACAGCGCAGTTATTTTTGTCATCGTTCTCCTCCCAGTCAGTTTCACACCTTGCATTTTTTGGCCGTCATACAACACTGTTTCGTCAAGTTTATGAAGAGATTCAGATATGTACAGGATTGAAGGTTGCACAGTTTGTTTTTGAAACAGTACAGATCTGTTTGCTATGTTGAATAGATCTTAAAACTTCGAACAGTTTGAGTGTTGCTATATTTTGTGTGCTATGTTTTGAAATGCAGAACTTTGTCCAAAGTTGAGATGCAGAAATAATTCAGTGTCAAACTTCTTCTGAATTAAGATTCTAAGAAAAGAAACTCCAGTTTGGGACAATTTAAGTGAACAAAATTTGCCTTTAGAAGGCTCTAGGTTGCCTTTGCCTTTGTTCATTTTGTTTAACATTTGGCACCTTCGATGGTTTTTTGTTGCGATTGATTTCATAGATATTTTCACTGTGTAAAACGTCCACCTGAAAACAGGCGTTCCACCAGAGGACGGAGAGACACGTTTGACCGGCAAGAGAGGACGAGTCACTGGAGAGCCCGTCATGAAGCCGGAAGACGTGGTCACTCAGCAGACCTAAAGCCAAGACTGGCCTGAGTCGGATTTCCAGCAGAGACTGCCACAGTTCCCCTTCCCCATCCCCTCCCTTGCAGAAGTTGGAAGTACTGGGCCTCATCGTGGCGCAAGGGTGAACACCCTGTTCAAACCACAATACACATGTCATGCTGAAACAGGAGCAGACTGTGTGGAGAGGTTTGAGCTGGGTGGCCAACACAGTACTACACTCACCAGTGTGAAGGATGAATGGAGAGTCTATAGAGGCAAGTGTGCAAAATGTGAGCTGTTGGATGTAATTTGTTCGTGTGTTGAATGAAATCCAAACTTGAACCTCTTGCGTTTTTTTAAAAATGTGTTATGTATTTCTTGTAAATAAATTGTTAAATCTAAGTTTTGACTACTACCACAACTAGTATTATCTTTTATGTCATGTATATTGGGGCTGGAAGTGTAACACTACAGGTTTTTAACTCATTCACTACGCCGAGCCGTGGGGGGCGGCGCGGCTCAAGTGCCGTCAGTATGTTAAGCTGCCCCCGGCGGCTCGAGAACCGAC